AAGCCTTAACAGGAGGCCATTCCCCATGAAGGTGACATAAGGACTGGGATAGTTGAGGTGGGTAGCCAAGGTCATTGCTGGGGGAATAAGAACTAAGTGTCTAAGTCAGAGGGCTCAACAGGGACCTAGTCTTTAACAAAGTCAGTGCAGGTGAGCTCAGGCCATGCAAATGATCATATCTAGGATATCCAACAGACCGGGGACTATAACTAAGCAGGAATCAGAAGTGAAAAAAAAAAAACTGAGACTAGAGTATTGGAGAGAGGAACTAGACACATTCCATGGCCATGATGAGAGGAGCAAGGGACTGGGACTTAGGCTGGCCAGACATTATACAATTTTCTGTTCAATTTCTGCCCAATTTCCTTTAGATTTACCTTCAACTATGTAGTGCAAGGGCCTGCCTAATTGGATACAATTGAAAGCGTTGTTTAGGTTTGACCACTTATTATATGGTTTTTGGTAAATCTTAAGCAAATTTCTCAAGAAAATTGTATAATGTATGGCTAACCGTAGGCAAGGATACCAGATTTGAGCTATCAAAAATCACACACCCCTAGCTGAACGATATAACTGGTGACTGGAGCATGGATTGTTGTGCCTATTTGAAGAAGTATAGGTATGCATTTAGTCAAATCCATGCATTTGCATAGCCCACCTGAAAAGATAACTAGGGCAAGTGCACTTGTTCAGGAACACAGAAACAGAAATATATCTCTGGCATCTGCAGATTGCTCACCGCTGTGTGTCCAACAATGTTAACAGTGACTCACAAAGAACACTAATCACATATCATCAATCATGGTAGCCACCCTATGGATGCCAATGATCTACTTTTCTCGCTAACAGTAGTTCCAGCTTTACACATGTTTTGCTATTTCTGCAATTAACTGTGACGAATGGCTGCCATACACACGTTGATATTATTATCTGATGTGAAATTTGATCAAAGTAATCAAATCGGAAACTGATTGAGTAGGCATAACTTCACTTTTGATCAATTTGGACTCAAATTTGAATTGGATTTGATCAAACAGCCAGGGTGGAAAATGACTAATCGTTTTGAATCAATCGGCAGCACTGAAATCGTAATTTTGATTGTAATTTGAGTGATAAGATTATGAGGTGAAAGTAAAGTGAAAGAAACATGAAAATGAAAACGCGTACGCAGCCACCACATGAAGGACTAGTAAGCTGCTATGTATTATGTTTCTGAGTTAGAGTTTAGATACACTTTAAGTCTAGGTTCACACCTATGCGTTTTTCGTTTGAGTTTTGCAGAAACGCACAGCAGTCCATTAAAGACAATTTCCTCTGGGACAAGTTCACAAGGTCAGGGACTTTTTTAAACGCAATACATTGCATTTTTGGTTCAATAGACTTCAATGGAGATGCATTTTTGATGCATTTTGTGTTTTCATCTGCCCAGCAACAAGTTGGGAAAAAAAAAACGCATCAAAAACATGTAAAAAGCACATGTGCAAAAACGCAAAATGCACCGTGAAAAAGCACTGCAGAAATGGATCAAACGCAAACAGCATAGGTGTGAATCTAGCCTCAGGCCTCCTTCACATTGCTGTTTAGCCAGATCCACTGAATTCTAACGGCAAGAACCAGCAGACACTCACTGATGACAAGCTGACAGTGGACATCTCTGTTCACATGTAGTCACTCGCACACCATGGGGTTACCTGAGGTTAGGGACACATGTACGAGCCTGGCCGCAGTTGGCTTGGTCCAGGCTCAGATATCTGTCCCTAACTGTAGTCAACACCTTGACGCTGATGCGGCCTCACAGAACTGGGCTTTTTTCCATGGGGCCACATATTTGCTTACCTGTCTTTGTACCACACAGCACGCCGCAGGGCAAGCTCCCAGCATAAAGACCAGAGTGTCACTGAGAGCCCCAGGTCCCATTCTAATGATCGATTTCGGATCACATGATCACTGTGATAGCCTCTGATTGGCTATCACAGTGGTCAGTCACTGTACAGCCTTGTTTTTTTTTTTTGTCTGTGAATGGAGGAGAGAGATATATTGTATTGGCCCGGGGTCAGTAGGGGGCCCCATGAAATGCCCCTGGTACCTTTTTTATAGGCTTTTTTGAGTGTGGGCAAGGACACAGGTGCCCCATGTTCCCCTATTGCCCGGGTGCCCCATGAGTTGTCAGTCCGCCCCTGCCTGTCAGTTTACTTATTGCCATCTGTGTCCCATTATGGAGATTTCCCTTTACTTCCTGTCCCATAGCCGGAACAGGAAGTGAGAGAAAATCCCTGCAAATTAAGGGAATTCCTTGGGGACCCCCAAGTCACCAGAACTAGTGTCCTCATTGGAAGTTTTCCCCTCTATTACTTTTCTGGGGACAACCCAAAATGTGGGGTTTCTTTTACTTTCACTTTAGATGATAATGGTAAACAGGACAAACAAAGAGGGTAAATATCCCTAATGGGGACACAGACAGCAATAAAAACTGATGGGTGACCCACAACAAATGCTTAAGGGTCCCTGCTCAGGCTGTCAAGGTCCAATGAGCTGGATGCCGTTGCCTAGTGAAGGTGCAGGCAATTTCTTCCTATTTCTGCAAAAACTGACAGGTGTTCTAATTCATCTCCACTCTGCCCAAAACTAAAAAAAAAATGTTTTGCCTTTACCTTTACCTGCCTTTACCTTTACCTTGCCTTTACACTTTACCTGCTTGGTGTGCGGCTACATGCAAACAATGGCGGCCGCTGCCAGCTTGTCATTAGTTTCTATAGCCGCTTTCCCACCGCCCTATAGCAGATATACTGCTACAGGGTGGCAGGGGTGAGCATAATCACGTATATATACATGATTTTGCATATCCAGGTAGGGGGTACGCGCAAGCCACGTGTGTTCCCTTCCTGCACCACTATTCGCGGCCCTCTCTTATATTTGTGTTATATGAGAGGGAAGGAATTGTAATAGGAGGAACTTAAAACATAGACTGAAGGTCCAGTATAAGGACTTTCATAGTAGGACCACCACTATTATTTTAACCAATTCCGCGCCGCCCTATAGCTGAAATACTGTTACAGGGCGGCACAGGTGCGCAATATCTGTCTCTCGTAGTTGAGGTCTACCTATGATGCCAATTACAGGCCTCTCTCATCTTTTTAAGTGGGAGATCCTGCATAATTGGTGGGCTGACTAAATACTTTTCTGCCCCACTGTATATACATATACGTGATTTTGCATTTACGGGTAGGGGGTATGCGCAAGCCGCGTGCGTACCCTTCCTGCACTGCCGTTTGCGGCCTCGGCTGTCAATCACTGGGTCCCGGCCAGCGAGAACTCGCCGGCACCCAGTGATCGAGGACCATTACCGACAGAGGGAGAGAACTGTATGTAAACAATACAGTTCTCTATCCTGTCAGCTTCTGCACAATGCTTTGCATGGCTCTGCATAGCAATGTCCTTACAGTGGGAAGCACTAACACAGCACACCCTAAAACAGCATGCAGCACACAGTTAACCCTTTGAACACCACACATGTTAACCCCTTCCTGCCCAGTGCCATTAGTACAGTGTCAGTGCTTTTTATTAGCACTGATCACTGCATTGGTGTCACTGGCGATGTCAGTGACACCAAGTCAGTTCCCCAGAGTGTCAGAATGCCCGCCGCAGTCCCACAGTCTCGTTATAATTCGCTGATTGCCACCATTACTAGTAAAAATTAAAAAAGAAAATCCCAGTATATATACTGCCATTTGTAAACGCTATAACTTTCACGTAAACCAATTAATTTACACGTATTGGGATTTTTTTTTTAGCAAAGGCATGTAGCAGAATACATTTTGGCCTAAATTTATATCGAAATTTGATTTTTAAATTTTTTTACTGAACATGTTTAATAGCAAAAAGTAAAAAATATTTGTTTTTTTCTCAAAATTTATGCTTTTTTTTATAGCGCAAAAAATAAAAACTGGACAGGCGATCAAATACCACTGAAAGAAAGCTCAATTTGTGGGAAAAAAAAGGACCCAAATTTAATTTGGGTGCAGCATTGCATGATCGCGCAAGTAACGCGGCGTCGTAATGAAAAAAATGGCCTGGTCAGGAAGGGTGGTATATCCTCTGGAGGGCAAGTGGATAGGATGAGCAGCTGACACTCTTCGCATGGAAATCAAGATGATGTGCTAACATATATTCAATGTACACTGATATAATGATATTATTTATGTATGGTTTTGATGTCAGATTCATCTTCCTGGCTATCATGTCACTTTGTAGCTGCTGCTCATAACTGACCTGCTTAGTTAACAACACTAGTGTCACGTTTAAATGTGCTGCCATCTTGCTCCCCCTGCTGGTTGTTGTTAGTATACCAATAAATGAGTTGGGTAATACTGCAAAAGCAGGAGAATGCATTATCCCAAAGCAATCAATGCAAAACCAGTTTTAATTAGTCTTGACTCCTGGAAATGTGATTCTTGGTTAACTGCTATGAGAGATACTGTTACAGCACCTCCAGGAGTTATTTCTGTACAGTTAGGTGCGTGGCCTGTCCTGTCCATTAGCAGTCTGTTGCTCATGCACCAGTTAATGTCTCTTTTTGCTATGGACAGCTGTGTGTTAGCATACTTTGGCTTGTGCAGTGTGCTCTTAGACTTTGGAGGGCATTTATTCACTTCCCGTTCAGGTATATCCTTGGATGTGAAGGGTAATATCTGAATTCTGCACAAAATAAAAGTAATCCGAGCAGCTAAAGAGCCACTGGATTACTTTTACAGGCTGCGGAAAAGTGTTTTCTTTTTGTTTAATTGCATTTGGAAAACCTCTGTACAAGTACTGTGCGACATAAAAAAAACAATTTAAAAACTCACCATTTTATTTTCCAGTGCAGGGGTCTCCAAACTTTTCAAACAAAGGGCCGGTTTTACTGTCCTTCAAACTTTAGGAGGGCTGGATTATGACCAGGGGAGGTAAAGAATGTTCCGGGCCCAGAATCAGTGAAAATGAACATTGGGTAATATTCCTCCCATTAACCACTTCCCGTCCGGCCCATGTATATAAACAGCCGGATGGTGGCAGTGCAGGGGCGGGTTGCCATTCATAAATGGCATCTGGCATTTTGGACTGTGCGCACTCCCTGGGAGCTCCCGATCGCTGTACGGGACCTCTGTGTGAGGTTCCGATTATGTGATCACTGATTGGCCAATCAGTGATCACATGAATAGGTGTAAGCAAGATGTCACTTCTGACATCATTGCTTACTACGTGTAAAATCTGTGAATGATCACAGAGATCACATGGTACAAGGCTATTCACAACAGCCTTGTACCATGTGACAAGCTGTGACCAATCACATCTCACACAGTATTTCTCAATGGCTGCAAGAATGCAGCCAGAGAGGAGAAATGATTGCTTTTACAGCCTTTATGGGTGTAAATGCAATCAGTGTAAAAAAAAAAAAAATATTCATCACCCCCCACAAGTAGTACAGTGTCACTATGGTTACACTGTACTGCTAGGGAGACAGTATGTTAAAAAGAAAAAAAAAACATAAATAATAATGTAAAAAATAAAATAAAAATGTAAAAAACATTTTGAAAAATTATAATTTTTGGTTATAAACTAATTTGGATTATGTTTTTTTTTACTAAAAAGATAACTGAATAACTTTTGGCCAAGATTTATGAAGAAAGATAATTTATTAGCAAAACACTTTTTTTTCCAAAATTTTTGGACTTTTTCATTTATATAGCAAACAAAAAAAAAATAAAAATCCCAGTGGTGAATAAATACCACCAAAATAAAGTTTTATCTGTCTCAAAAAAAATGCTAAAAAATTCATATGGGTCAAATTCATATGTTGCATGACCGCGCAATTGTCATTCAAAGTGTGATAGCACTGAAAGCTGAAAATTGGCCTGGACAGGAAGGGGGTGAAAGTGTCTGGACATGAAGTGGTTAATACCATTACTATCCATTATTGGTATTAATGGGAGGAATAAAGCACCATTATTGTATCTGTGTAAAAAATAGTGTCCCTTTGTTGGTGTCAGTAGGAGGAATATCATATCATTGGGAGCAGTGGCGCACTGACCATTTGTAAACTCGGGCACTGCCCGAGGGCCCAGGGTCAGTAGGGGCTCCATGAGATGCCCCTGGTACCTTTTTCATAGGCTTTTTTGAGTTTGGGCAAGGACACAGGGGCCCCATGATCCCCTATTGCCCGGGGGCCCCATGAGTTTTGTCAGTCCGCCCCTGGTTGGGAGGAATAGTGCCCCAAGGGCCGGATAAAGGCTAACAAAGGGCCACATCTGGCCCTTGGGCCACAGTTTGGAGACCCCTGCTCTAAGGCTTCTGTTTAAAAAAATAAATATAATGTTTGGGGGATCTAAGTAGTTTTCTAGCAAGAAATGATGTATTTTACATGCAGCAGAGGAACGTCAGAATTTGGCCCGGACTGAAAGTGGTTATGCCCCTTCCCTAATAGTAGTTGGTTCTCTGACTTCTAGCCAGCTGCTCTGTTCATGAGATTACCATTGTTCTGCCTTGCTTGTTAGCATCCTTGCTTGTTTCCGATAATTCTTGCCTTACACTTGTCTCAGCCTGGACTTGAACTTTAACTATTCTTCTTTGCTGCCTGCCTTGACCTCTGCCTAGACATTGAGCTTTCTTGCCTGCCGCCTGCTCTGACCTCAGGCAGAAACCTCTACCTGCTTTAGTTCCATCTGCCTGTCTCTGCATTGCAGTTATTCTCTTGTGAACTCCCTTGGTGGGGAAATCCTGAGGGTCCCTAACTAGTGAAATCTTGCAGCAATGTAGCTCAGGGGCCTCAAGGGTCACCAGCCCATCTCTTGCAGGGTGTTCTGGTGAAGACCAAGGTGTCTTTTAGACTTTTAGGTGAACCTGTCTCCTGCCAGAGGTGCCACCTGTAGCAGACATGAATCAGTGCAGTAACAGAGGGCACTGCTTGGAGTCAGGCCTGCTATAGCAGTAGAGAGGCTCCCACCAACCAGCAGGACAGGTATACAAGTAGACCACACTGGCGGATGACGTAGGCACACCTAAGGTGCGGAGTCACCTCTCCTACTTTTCTTTTCTCCCTCCATAATCAATGTTCCCTCCTCACAGTCTGTGTCATTCCTGTTGTTTTCTTCCCACTTCAGCAACAGTAAATCTTAAAGCTGTCAGCTAATCAACCTCTAGTGGCTCTGATTTTAGGCACAGTGCCAAGAATAGAGAGCAACTGAGCATGTGCAGAGCAGGGGTAAGACAATGCATTACTGGATTTTAAACAGTGTAGACACTTATTTTGAATGTTTTACATACAGTAGCTATACCTGCAAAAGGGGCAGATGGAAGCGATCTAGCAAGACTTAATTTTCTGACTAAAGTTCCACTTTAAAGGATAAGTTCACATTTTTTTGCAGGTAAAAATAATGTGCATTTATTATTTTTTGTTGCAGGAGTCTGTAAAGTATTGCACCAGCGATCAGCAGATCGCTGGTGTCATGCAAAACTCCTGCAGATCTATCACTATATTTGCCTGCCCATACAAGCAAGCTGATACACTCTGACAGGAAGAACCATGAGAACTACAAGCTGACAGCTGCTAAGGCTGTTGAGACTTGTAGTTTTCTCATTCACAGAATACAGCTAGTGGGGGGGAGAAGATCCCCCACTACCTGTCAAAGTGGGGACAGTTCTTTCATTTTATTATTTAGTACAGGTACTTATATAGTGCCATCAATTTATGTAGCGCTTTACATATATATTGTACATTCACATCAGTCCCTAACCCTCAAGGGCGTACAATCTAAGGTCCCTAACTTACATTCATACATACCCATACTAGGGCCAATTTAGACAGGATCCAATTAACCTACTAGCATGTTTTGGAGTGTGGGAGGAAACACACACAGGCACAGAGAGAAAATGCAAACTCTAAGCAGGTGCAGCCATGGTTTGGATTAGAACCAACAACCCTAGTACTGCCAAGCAGAAGAACTAACCATTCAGCCACTGTGCTGCCCATGATCATAATATGTTACACCCTGAATATGGGTGTAACATGTTATGAACGGTGAACCTATACTTTGTTATTTAATGCAGATAACTGTTCAGGCTGCAATTGTCTAAAATGGAAATTCCTCACTCTCATTTTGTGTTGCTTCCCCATAATAGCCAATGAAGGGAAATCTCCCTAGCTAGACCCAGGCAATCATCAATAAACAACTTGATTATGGTTTTACCACTTCCCTACGCTACCCAAGACTAACATTTAAAAAATGTGCCTCTACATACACTTTTAGAACTGCATTCTGCAAGACCTGGGCTTTTTATTCCATATATTTACTATACTTTATTTTAGGAAGTGTCTATTAGGATTTTTTCTTTATCTCACAACTACCTTATGGTGTCAGGAAAAAAAATATAAATTCTTTCTTCTTGACACCAACTGAGGTTCTTATTGTAGGATATAATATATTTTAGTTATATACAATTCTATATCTATTTTTTCCCCAATAATCAAGTTATTGTGAATTCAAAAACTTCAAGAATCCTTTTGTTTCTATCATTGAGCTTTCTGGCTAGGATTCTGGCTGTATTCATATTAAGGGTGTTGTTATCTCTGCGGAATGCCATTGCACAAGCACAGGTAGGCGACAGTTTTACTGTGGATTTATATTATCAGCATGATTACCTGGCATACTGCTTTGTTGTCTTTGGAAGGTATGTGGCATTTCGAACTGATAATTCTGACCATGACAAGAGTAACAGATACCTCATTAATCATTTTAATCCAGTAATAAGAACATTAACCCATTCATTTGTGGTCTGCTTTGAAAATATCCGGAGGGAGAAATTGAATCCCATACTTTTGTTTAGAGAACTTAAAACTAGACTTCAGGCATGAATTTTATTGCCTAGTTGCATTGGTCCAGCTAGACTCAATGTACAGTATCTCCCAGAAGTGAGTACACCCCTCACATTTTTGTAAACATTTTATTCTATCTTTTCATGTGACAACACTGAAGAAATGACACTTTACTATGATGTAAAGTAGTGAGTGTACAGCTTGTATAACAGTGTAAACTTGCTGTCCCCTCAAAATAACTCAACACACAGCCATTAATATCTAAACCACTGGCAACAAAAAGTGAGTACCCCCCTAAGTGAAAATATCCAAATTGGGCCCAAAGTGTCGATATTTAGTGTGGCCACCATTATTTTTCAGCACTGTCTTAACCCTCTTGAGCATGGAGTTCACCAGAGCTTCACAGGTTGCCACTGAAGACCTCTTCCACTCCTCCATGATGACATCACGGAGCTGGTGGATGCTAGAGACCTTGTACTCCTCCACCTTCCGTTTGAGGATGCCCCACAGATGCTCAATAGGGTTTAGGTCTGGAGACATGCTTTGCCAGTCCATCACCTTTACCCTCAGCTTCTTTAGCAAGGCAGTGGTCGTCTTGGAGGTATGTTTGGGGTCGTTATCATGTTGGAATAATCAAGCACTGCTTCAGTATCTTACAGTACATGTCGGCATTCATAGTTCCTTAAATGAACTGTAGCTCCCCAGTGCCGGCAGCTCTCATGCAGCCCCAGACCATGACACTCCCACCACCATGCTTGACTGTAGGCAAGACACACTTGTCTTTGTACTCCTCACCTGGTTGCTGCCACACACGCTTGACACCATCTGAACTAAATCAGTTTATCTTGGTGTCATCAGACCACAGGACATGGTTCCAGTAATCCATGTCCTTAGTCTGCTTTTCTTTAGCAAACTGTTTGCGGGCTTTCTTGTGCATCATCTTTAGAAGAGGCTTCCTTCTGGGACAAGAGCCATGCAGACCAATTTGATGCAGTGTGCAGCGTATGGTCTGAGCACTGACAGGCTGACCCCCCCACCCCTTCAACCTCTGCAGCAATGCTGGCAGCACTCATACATCTATTTCCCAAAGACAACCTCTGGATATGACACTGAGCACGTGCACTCAACTACTTTTGGTCGACCATGGTGAGGCCTGTTCTGAGTGGAATCTGTCCTGTTAAACCGCTGTATGGTCTTGGCCACCATGCTGCAGCTCAGTTTCAGGGTCTTGGCAATCTTCCTTTAGCCTAGGCCAGTGGTCGGCAAGCCGCGGCTCGCGAGCCACATGCGGCTCTTTACAGGCTTTAATGCAGCTCTTGTGTGCCGGGCGCCCGCTCCCCCCTCCCTCCTCTCGGGTGGCAGGGACTCTGCAGCGTGATAAAAAAAAAAAACAGCCAGGGCAGCGCGCTCAAATGCAATGATTGGCCAGTCTCGCTGCCACTCACATCCTGATAGCCAGT